ATATTTATTATTATCCATAATTTATTTATAACTAGGGTTTGATTTTTACCAATTAGTGTTTAAGGATATTACGGTTTGACTTTCACCAATTAAGATTTCTGGATATTAGGGTTTGATTTTGACCAATTAGGGAGATTAGGGTTGACTTTGACGATTAGGATTTGACTTTAACCAATTAGGAGAGTGTTTAATCACAATTTAATCAATCTAACTCAAGATGACATCTCTTTCCCCCTTTACACCTTCTACTCCTCCCAAACCCTAGACCCTTATTCCAACCAAATAACTACCTTAAATCTCGATCCATCAAATCCTACTACGACATTGTCTTAGAGGCAAAATCGTTTATGACTCTACTAATAACAATCGTTCGCATCGTCGAAATGCGCATGGTAGGCCCAAGAACATGCTCGTTATGACCCCTAGAGCCCCCAAAAATCTCGATGAAAGTTTTGGCACTACTCATACTTTTTGCCCTGACGTCCAATCGAGAAACAGTCTATTCTAAAATGTTTATCCACATTTTAGTGGAGCGATGTGGATTTCAATAATTTTTCACGTCGATGACTCTAGTAACTATGAAAAGATGCTTTTGTAGCCATTTAACCAAATTTAATAAGTTTATGGTCATTCTGCACATTTAAAATGAATTATCCATAAGGTTGTACAGTATTTATGATAATTTATAATTAAATATAAAAAATATTGTACAATATTTTTGATAAATTATAATTACTTAAAATATAATTGTTTAATCAATATTCTAACTAATTTGGTATTATTAATGCCGAGAATCCCTCCTAATCCATATCACTTACGGCAGAATTCTAAACAATTATCAGTTTAATATAATAATAAACAATAATATTAATTAATCACTCTCAAACGTCACTCCCCGTCGAATAGGGGATTGCTAATTGTCGCCCTAATCGCTCTACCTTAAAAAACTAAGATTACAATTTTGTCCTTCTTTATTTTTTATTAAAATATATTTATTGCAACAAACCGAATAGAAAAGAAAAAAATTGACATCCGCATCAAACCGCCACCACCGCTGCCTCGCCGCCATGACCTATACCTTCCTGGCTTCCTCGAGTAATATCTTTGTTCAACAAAACTTACTTTCTCAACTGTGTTAATTTAACAAGACAATTCATTAGAGTTTTACAGTAGCTTTCCATAAATAAATAAATAAATAGACAAAACAACGTAACTTAATAATGATTGATTCCCATGGGAGGAAACGGAAAAGAATGGTGGCGGGAGTGTAGGCGATAGGGATAGATGTAGTGAGGGAGTCTGGTAGGCTCGAGCAAACCACCACCAGAAGTCCTTTCAATTCTAAGGCCCTGTTTAGTATTGTTGTGTGTTTTTGTTTTCTGTTGTGGTTTTAAGATTTGTAGAAACCAAGAAAAGAAAACATATTTAGTTGTTTTTTTTATTTTTGTTGTGGACTTTAGTGCAACAAGTTTTAACAACCAAGCCCAAATCAGCAAAACAATAAAAGATGGCTTCATGGTTGTTTTATCTCATGGTTGCGTACAGGATTTTCTTTTCACTTAAACCATTTCTTTTATTATTATTATTTTCTCTTTCTCCGTCACTTTCCCCATTCCCCCACACCCATCCATGTCTCTGTAACTTCCCCCAAAACCATCTCCTGCTCTCCATCTTTTTCTCCCGTTCTCCATCTGCTTCTCAAGGCGGACAGGGAAGCGGCGGCGTCGAGCTATTGGGACAGGAGCGGGGTCGGGAGGAAACTTTTCTTTCCTTTTCTTATCTTCTTCTCTGGGAAGTGGCGTTGCGCAAAAAGAATCTGTCTCCGGCAAGTCAAGGAGGCGGCAGTGTCGGGTTGTTGGAAGGAGGCGGCAACGACTTCCCTCTCTTTTCCGGTCTTCTTTTCCGGCAAATCGACGACATCGGGCTGTTGGGAGGCAGCGGCGAGGACGAACCAGATTTCCCAAATCTGTTTTTTTTTATTCTGAAATCGAAGGAGAACAACAGAAGTAAACATGTTTTGTATGAATTTTTTGAGATAAACACGACGTTGATTTAAGTTGTGTTGGTGTTGTGTTGCTTTTCTGTTGGCACAACCTTGATAAAACACAACAAGATAAAAATTATACTAAATGGGGCCTAAGTCTGAAAGCAACAATCTTGCAGACTTCTGTGTTTATGGCATCACCTATTTATAGTTGTGAAAACTGGAAGTTACCTTCCGAAGAGTCACATCCTTTCACAGAAAAAGGTAGTTACCTTTTTGGAAGGACACATCCTTTCACATAAAAAGGGAGTTACCTTTCTGAAAGGACACGTCTTTTCACAATATTCAAATGTTAATTAATTAATCTGCCAAAAGACTCCATCTTTATACTTTACTTCTCCCATCAACGTCGTATTACAACTCTATTGACTTACTCTAACAATCCCCCACTTAGTCAACAAGAGTTGAGAATACATGCCTCGAACAAGTAACGCATACATAAAGGTATCTTTTTGATTTGAACCTTTACCTAGTGTAAGCAACTCAAAGTTGATAATGAATCAGTGACGAGCTTAAGCTTAGGAGTCACGATCCAAAGCTATAACCGGAGGTGCCACACACGTCCTTGTCTCTTCTCTAAAGTCTAAACCACAACCATCAACAAGGGTAGCACTATTATGGCCATGTGCTGATCCTGATTCATGAGCATACACAAAAGTTGACCTTTACTTTTATTAGAGTGGCACCACACTTAATACTCACATAGGTGACATTCCAAATGAAATCATTAAGAGTTTATAACTCATCCCAAGAGTTCTATAACTCACCCTTCTTTGGACTAATTTACTTGTACAATAAATTAGTACCTCGGTTAGAGTAACTTGTTATTACCACATTGAACCTTTTAATTAGTGAATACCTAAATATAAGGTTGGGTTCCTATTACTTCTAACATCACAAGACGTCTTAATCCCTTCCCTTGGGATGTCTCATAGATCATGCCTCATGGCTATCCCTTGGTAAGGCGATCTGCCAAATTATTGCATGATCTAACATACACAATAGAAATGATTCTATTAGAAATCAAATATCTAACGTAATCATGTCATAGGCTAGTAGCTCTAGACTTACCATTGTAAATCTTGTTATAAGCTCTCGACAAAGTAGCCTCACTATCACAAAAGACAGAAATAGCTGGCATCGGCTGTGGCCACAACTCTATCCCGAACAACATGTCTCTTAGCCATTCTGCCTCTTTTACAGCCGCCGCAAGGGCTAGAAATTCATCTTCTATGGTGGAGTGTAATACACATTTGTTTCTTCGAAGTCCAAGAAACAACTCCACCACCTAGTCTAAAAATCTACACGTTGTAGATTTATTATCATTAGCATTTTTTATCCAACTAGCATAAAAAACATCTCTCCCACAATTTTACCACTTGCTGAACTATCATGGAACAATTCCACTTAATTTTCCATGACATTCCTTATTGAACTTTCAACCACTACATTAATCTAATTGTTTACCAATGGTATGGACTAATTGAATTAACATACCACAAATAATTCAGATATTATTAGAAAAATCATCTAATTGCTTACCAATGGAATTGGTCAAGGTAACTTGAGATGCCACAAGTAATTTAGTTGTATTTATATCATCTAATTACTTACCAATGATATTTCACGAAGGTAACTTGACATACCACAAGCAATTCAAATGAATATCCTAAGTCAATCGTCTAATTACTTGCCAATGATATATATTTCACAAATATACCATAAGTAATTCGGACTTTAAGTTCAATAAGATCATCTCAATTGAGCACTGTTTTCCAATGGTATATGTCTACATATTTCCATAAACAATTCTGATCAATTGCTTCACACCATAATCATACGTCAAATTATTTTCCAATGGTGTAGTGTACATTTACCATAAACAATTATGGCGATGATTATTTTGATGATCACCATTCTTTGGCAAGCTTATTAAATCCTTATAAGGATTCCATCTTAGTTTCATTTTCCTTTCCCTCATGGCATAGGAATTAGGAAACATCAATCTAATGATAGAATCAGTGATACATATATGCATATATGAAAAATATCAATCTAATGATAGAATAGGAAACATAATTCCTACGTTATAGGAACCGAGTGTTCCTCTGCATGGAACTCATGACTATATATAAAAGTATATTCACAGAGCCATCCAAGCAATTTGACTAATTATGATGCTCGCACAATTTAATAACTCGAATTCATTAAACCCTTTTCATGCAGAGATTAACGAACGCAGACAATAACCCCCGATCCATATAATCAATACATGAACCGGATTGAGCATATATATAGATACATATCATCATAATAATTTCCCTCACCTAGAGACAACAAGAATCAAATTCCTTTCTAACACCGGTGGGAATCAAATTCAAATCCCACTCTCAACACCAAGAATTAAAAAGGAACAGGTCGTTACCCGATTTTAGGGATGCCGAAATGCTTCCTTTCCTTCGGGAGCAAGTTTGGACCATGACATCTTTTCTTTTCAATGCATGCAACTTCCATCTCAAATGAATGCACGCCTTCAACGTACGTTCCACTCCAGATTCTATTTTTTCAAACGAATAACACTTTAAGATTGTCAAGAACCGGTAGGAAAGAATCGATTGAAGGCGTGATTAATCACTCTCCTTAGAGAGTTATTTGCCCCCACTACAAATTGCTGGTAGGCTCGAGCAAACCACCCCCAGGAGTCCCTTCAATTCTAAGTATGAAAGCAGCAATCTTGCAGACTTCTGTGTTTATGAAATAGAGAAGGAAACGGGAAGAAGAAGAATTCTCTCATCATTAAAAAAATTATGACAGTCATCTATTTATAGTTGTGTAAACTCGAAGTTACCTTCCGAAGAGTCACATCCTTTCACAGAAAAAGGTAGTTACCTTTCTAGAAGGACACATCCTTTCACAGAAAAAAGGTAGTTACCTTTCTGGAAGGACATGTCTTTTCACAATATTCAAACGTTAATTAATTAATATAAAATTAATTAATTAATTAATCTTCCAAAAGTCTCCATCTTTATATTATACTTCTCCCATCGATGTCGTATTACAACTCTATCGACTAACTCTAACAGGAGTAGGGCATAGCGACGGTAGGGAGAATAACTTGGGTAGTGCCAACGGCAAATCAGGGAGAAAAAGCGTAGAAGATGGTGGAGAGAAGCGGCGGCGAAAGGTATTTGGAGTCTGGAGGGACGGGTTTGGCGGTGTTGAGAGGATAAAGGATTTAGGGCGGTTTGTTTTATTGAATAATGAAGGATAATTTGGTAGTTTTATGTTTTAAAGTTAGGGCGATAGTAATAAAGCTAGGGCGATGTTTAGCCGTCCAGGTCGAATACCCTCTCTCCCTCCTCTCCTTCTCGATCTCTTCGTCCGTTCTACTGTCTGTCGCCGGGAATCGGACCAAACCTCACCGTCCGAACGCTGGCATCGTACCGAGACACACCATCCAATCGCTGGCTTTGAACGCTAGCTAACCCTCTGATCGCCGCCGCCTGACCATGGCTTCCGGACCGAACCTCGGTGTCGGACCAGTACCTGATCAAGTTGGACGACAACGCTAATTGGCTTTGTGGTTGGAGGGATTTGTAGTCGGCGGGGGTTCCGGAAAGATGGAAGGAAGCTATCGTAGGTGAGGTTTTGGTCGTGGAGGAGTTGGGTTTGAGGTCGTCCAGTGGAGATTTGTGGCGGCGAGATTTACAGTCGGCAGAAACTGTTGCTGGCGAATGACAATTGTGCTTCGAAGGCAAAAACACCATTTGCTTCAAAATAGTGGGCGACAAATAGTAATTTACCGGACGGAAAATAACAACTCTCTTTAAGTTTTTAACTAATCCTAGTGATCATGAATAACTATAATATTTTTAGTGACCAAAAGTGAAATTTTTAGTAATCTCGCAATTTACCTTGAATTATTATATTATTAGTTTTACCCTTCGCCTTCGTTAGGAGATCAAAGTTTGAACGTGGGCTGAAGGCGGTAACAGAACGAAGCCCCCATTAACCCCAGCTGAACTGCGGAAAAAATCCAAAAGTACCACTGTTTAAAAAAAAAATTCCAAAAATACCACCCAATCCCAAAAAATTCCAAAAATACCACCCTTTTTCAAAAACCGCCACCCCACCCTGCGGTTTACACGAAAACCGTTTGCCGGGGGCGCGGTTTTCTATGCAAACCGCGGGCCTAGGGGGCGGTTATAAAAAAAAAATTGGACCAAACCGCTGGGTGGGGTGGCGGTTTGACCCAAAACCGCCACCCCACCCAACGGTTTGGTCCAAATTTTTTTTTTTTTCGATCAACTCCTAACTTCGGCCGAAACTTCAAACGAACGTAACTTTGCACTCGGGTATCCGATCGATGCGATTCTTTTTTTTCATTTCGCATAACTTTTCAAGATCTACAACTTTTAGTAGGATAAAATTTTCAAAACTGGAACTATTTGTGGATATACGGGACCTTGAGAATAACTGTACCTTTACTTTTCACAAATCCATGTACATTTTGAAATTATGATTACATTAAAAGTTGTAGATCTTGAAAATTTATGTGGAATAAAAAAAAAATTCATGACATTCGGATTTTGGAGCTCAAAGTTATGGCCGCCCAAAGTTTGACGAAATTAAAAAAAGGCTCGTTCGGGGTGGCAAATGACGTTTTTTCGAGACAAATGCGAGACCCGGTGGTTTGCGGCTTGCAAGATCTCAAAAAGTTATTCGGATTCAAAAAATGGAGGCCGCAAACTTTTTGAGATCTTGCAAGCCGCATACCGCCGGGTCTCGCCTTTCGTCAAACTTTGGGCGGTCATAACTTTTTGCTCCAAAATCCGAATGTTATGAATTTTTTTTTATTCCACATAACTTTTCAAGATCTACAACTTTTAATATAATCATAATTTCAAAATGTACATGGATTTGTGAAAAGTAAAGGTACAGTTATTCTCAAGGTCCCGTATATCCACAAATACTTCCAGTTTTGAAAATTTTATCCTACTTAAAGTTGTAGATCTTGAAAAGTTATGCGAAATGAAAAAAAGAATCGCATCGATCGGATACCCGAGTGCAAAGTTACGTTCGTTTGAAGTTTTGGCCGAAGTTAGGAGTTGATCTGGAAAAAAAAAAAAAAATTGGACCAAACCGCTGGGTGGGGTGGCGGTTTTGGGTCAAACCGCCACCCCACCCAGCAGTTTGGTCCAAATTTTTTTTTTATAACCGCCCCCTAGACCCGCGGTTTGCATAGAAAACCGCGCCCCCGACAAACGGTTTTCGTGTAAACCGCAGGGTGGGGTGGCGGTTTTTGAAAAAAGGTGGTATTTTTGGAATTTTTTGGGATTGGGTGATATTTTTGGAATTTTTTTTTTAAACAGTGGTACTTTTGGATTTTTTCCCCGAACTGCTGGGCTACTGCTTTCTCTCCTCTGCATGGGCCACGGAAATGGGGAGGGCATACGACACCGTTTGCTTGGGTGTACTGTTCTGGACTTCTGGTGCCTGGTGGTGGATTGTGGAATGTAAATGACACGTCACCCCCGCCCTCCTCACGAGGCAAAACCCTGCAATTCAATTCATCCCCACTTCAACCCTCATTCCGTTTGTTTCCCTCTTTTTCAAGTCTACCAATGGAGGAGCCGCGGCAGCAACAGTCATCACCAGAGCTCCCACCTCCGACGGAGCCCAACCCGGGTCAAAATCCTGGCGAAGAAGCTCAGCGTACAAAGGTCGTACTATGCGTAGAATGCAAAAATACGGCGGCGAAATACAAATGCCCCGGCTGCTCTCTACAGACCTGCAGCCTCCCTTGCGTCAAATCACACAAGCACCGGACTGGCTGCTCCGGCAAACGCGACGTCGCCCCTTTCGTTCCCATGTCCCAGTTCGACGATGAAACCCTTGTTTCTGGTACTCATTTCTTCCCACTTCGCCCCTTTTTTCCAATAGGAACTGAATTTGCTAGCTTCGAATGCAAAGTTCATTGCTTTCTGCCAAGTCTTGATTTGGCCTGTGTGTTGACTACGTGGCTCGTAGATTACAACTTTCTCGAGGAAGCGAAGAGAGTGGTTGATTTAGGTCCAAGGATGAGAGCTCAATTACGTGCTTACTCTCAATTTCGGTTGCCCTTTCACCTTCAAAGCCTTAAGCGTGCTGCCTCAAGTCGCAGAACAACGCTCCTTCTGCTCCCCAGTGGAATGTCAAGGAGGGAGAAGAACAAAACTCGCTATGACCAGAGGTAACAGCTGTTTGCAAAGAACTGATCTTTCTGAAAATTTACAACTTTGGGAGCGCTTATTCTTTAGGCGTGTATGTATGTATCTGTTCTGTTTCTAAACGAGCACTAATGTTCTGACTACTTCGAATGACATTTTTTCAGGAAGAAGTCTATCTTCTGGACCATAGAATGGAGGTTTTACTTAACTGGTGTTGTTTTGTTTGACCATGGGTAAGCTGTACTGTATTTGTCTGCAGAATCCTTTTTACTCTCTCAAGTTCTTTTGTTGTTCTTTTCCATGGTTGCTTAACTATCATGCATAGGCGACCCACGGTGCTTGTTTCCCATTACAGAGTAAATGAAAACACTTCAGTTTGCTCTGAGATTGAGAAGCATCTGAAGCCAGGACCATGGAAGCATAAGTTAAAGCAGTTCTCTGAAGTGGGTTTGGAGTCTCTCAAGTGCTTCATACGTAAATATCCAAAGGTATATATATGTTTAGAAAGAAAGGTTACATTTTTAGAATCACAATGCCTCCCTCGATTTTCTGATGCCTTCTACTCTCGTTTGACTTACAGGGGAAATCGCATTTTCGGGAGTTGGACATAAAGGCCCCTTTAAAGCAGCAGCTAGGGAATCTAACTGTGTTGGAGCACCCTGTCATCTATGTTCTTCTCCCTTCTCAAAGTTATGATTTTGAAGTCGTAAAAGACTTCATTCCAATGGCTCGTAGGCAGGAAGCTAAGTGTCGTGTGAGCAATGGTGATCAACTGATGATCCCCCAAGGTGTTGCATTCCGTGAGGAAGAAATTATCGAAGAAGAAATAGAAAATGGTCCTTCAGGAGGTACTCAGGTTTGTGATCTTCCTGCAAAGAGCGATGTTGAGAATCCAGGGTATAATGAGCCCCCTCAGAAAGCCACGGAAAATACAGCTGAGGAGGATTCGTTGTTGGCAACCGATTCACATTCTTGCTTAAAGGACACGCGACCTGGAATATTTGATGATATGGATTTCGATTTTGACCAGAGCCTGATAGATAAGTATTCAGATATAGTTGCAGAGATCAATACGGATGACTTTCTTGATTTTGAAGGTGATTTGTCCATGGATATGGGAGGTGGGTTCAATAGGATCTCTGAAGAGTTAGAAGAAGGGGAAATTGCTGATTAAGGGGAGATCCTGAATTGGACCACCAGAACACCATCATTGTCCTAACACGAACTTGTGATCGGTACTAGACTCAGGCCACTCTTGATGCTGGTAAGAGATCGAGTGATGGTCACCATGGGCAACGGATGAGGGGCTTAATTTGTTACGATGTTGGTTTTTGTTCTTTGTCGACCTCATCTGGCAGTGTCCAACTTCCATGGTTGTGGCCTTCCTCTCTCGTGATTCTGCTGCTTGCATCAGCCATGTGATGATCCGGGAAAGAACGTCGATGTTGTAGGTTGAGTGAGTGGTGATTGTATCCATGCCGTTCTTCCGAAGAATGCGTTACGTGAGTATACTCTATTTTGTTTACTGTTGGCCTCTTTCGGAATCCTGTTAATTTTCTCTGATAAATAGTTTGCACAACCTTTATTCAAATGATTGAGACACACTTTGGGAAAACAGTTAAGGTGATTTGATTATGGAGGCGAGTTTACTATAAATGAATTGTTGGTGTTATATAAGACTCAGGGAATACTTCCGTAGTCTTCATGTCTTGGTGTATCTCATCAGAATGGGGTGGTAGAACGTAAACAGTGACATGTCTAGGAGCTCACGAGAACGCTCTCTTTCATTGTTGTGTTCCTATAGGTTTCTGGGTAGAAGCAATTATATTGTGATTCAGTTGATCGACAAATTATGTAGTTTCTACTTTCTGGGACAAAGATCACCATATTACAGGCTCCCGACTATTCATCTCTGTGGGTGTTTGGTGGTGTTCTTGTTTAGTCTTGCTCCCTCAGGAGTCAGGAGTGACACAAACTCGCTTTGAAGGCATTGAAATGTGTGTTTGCGAGCCATAGCGACAAGCATAAAGGATATTTATGTTACCATCCTATAGAAAAGCCCATGAGCAATTGAGCATTGAATTTGAATATCATGTGCTGTTTCTAGAAATGGAGATGTACTGCTCTTCATCTCATTCAAGGGCGAGTTCTTCCACTGCCCTTGAGTTTTTGGCCCCATTACCATTACCTTCCTTTGATTCTGTAAGAGTGTCGACTACGCTTATTGTCCCACTCAGCATAATGATTTTGGGGATATAGGCCATCAACGACAAAAAAATCCTAAAATACACGTTTTTAAAAAAAATTCCCAAAATACACACGTTATAAATTTTTTTCCCAAAATACACATTTTTGGGCATCACCGCAGTTGTCAACCGCAGTGATTGCATTCACCGCGGCAGACTAAAGCGGTGAATGCATCACCGCGGTTGACGGCCGCGGTGAATGCCTGACGTAACACTGAAACTTCAAACAAACGTAACTTTGCGCTCGGTTATCTGATTGTAGCGAATTTTTTTTTATTCCACATAACTTTTCAAGATCTTTCAATCTGCAACAAGCCTTCATCCCAAAAAAAATCGTTTGCTACCCCGAACGAATAATTTTTCGATTTTGACAAATTTTGGAAGACCATAACTTTGTGCTCCACAATCCGAATGTCATTAAACTTTTTTTGTTTTCGCATAACTT